TAATGCCATGAACGTCTGTATCATTCTTTATTTTTTGATTCAGAACAGTGTTTATTTTGATTATTGTTTCTTGATAAGGTATTTTTGAACCCCGTTCATTGTACATTCTTTCACTCCCAAGAAGACACGAAAGTTCTTTGAAAACAAGATGTGCATGCAGGTTAATGAAGAGCAAGGTTTCCTCTCGTTTCCCGGTTATCGTTTTTACAGTCGTAAAGCTCGATTTTGAAACTAGTGAGCGCTTTCTCCAGTGGGTCATGTACTAGCTCTCGTAAGGTCTCTCATGAATGACTTGAAACCCTTTGAGAGGACAACAGGACAAACAACAGAAACAATGCCCCGTGGCCCCAAAACAATAACAGCTGCTGCAAAGACGACAAATAGAATTACAAGCTTACGAGAGCTGTTACACTACCTCCTAGTATACAAAAAATCTACTTGCATACACAAGGTTACAGCAGTAACAGGCATTAAACTTCTGAATCGAACGACTATTTGTAAGAAACGTTTCATTCAGGCCCTTTTCTCTCCTTTAACAGATGACGAGGACCCCAGCGGTGATTCGTTAGTCGAACCACTCGTTTTCGTGGGTTCTGAAGATCACAACATGTACGCACTAAGCGCCGCAAACGGAAACGTCATCTGGAAATACCGAACTCTTGGCAAGATCCTGTCATCTGCGGCTCTCAGCCAGGACGAAGAGATTGTTTACTTTGGTTCCAACGATGGCAACGTGTATGCCCTTGCTGCGGCCGATGGTTCTCTCGTTTGGAAAGTGAAGACCGGAGGTGCTGTCGTGGCAAGCCCAACCGTGGCTGTGGACGGAACAGTTTATGTCGGGTCCCAGGATAAATTTGTCTATGCGCTGGATAGCAAAGGCGAGTTCGCTTTGTGGACTACAAATCTTCAGTGTCCCATATGGGGTGCTGTTACAGTAGACAACAAACGAGGGCTGTTATTCACCGGGTGTGCCTCGGATAAATCGAACACTTCGGACTCACAGGACGCATCTCATATTTTCGCCTTAAACGCTAAGTCGGGTGAGATCGTTTGGAAGTTCGACAGTGCCGGAAGCGTTTATGGCTCACCCGCTCTCCTGCCCGGCGGTCGCACCGTCTTCTTTGCTTCCCTAGACCATAACATCTACGCTCTTGACCGCGAAACTGGTAAGCTGTACTGGTCATGTGACACGGGTTCTGAAGTGGAGTCTTCTCCAGTGGTGAGTAAGTTAGATGGCACACTGTACGTCGGCTTGATCAAGGATCAGTTGATTGCTGTCGATACCATCGATGGACCTTTGGCGGGAAAAATCAAGTGGACAGTGAATACTGGCGGGGAGGTGGTGTCGTCACCTGTTATCACTGAGGATGGGAGGGTGAGTAAGAATAATTAATTGGCCTGTGTCAAGAACGATTATATCCTGCAATGTACCACTATTGGCTTGTATTTAGAATGAGCTCAAATCCTCTAGCGATTATAATCCCTCTTCTGTGGGAGGCGCTATGACCTAATGCTTAGCGCGCTCGTCTCCGGATTGAGTGGCAATGATATTTTATGTCATTGCAGTATGCTTGGACTCGTAATGTCCATTTAACGACCGCACTGGATATTGTTTTACTATGCGGTATTCTTGTATGTATAAGTAATTTTTGAGTCTCGTATTGTTACCCCCACCCCAAAAAAAGAGGTTTTACGAACGGAAAATAGACCAATTTTCAGCCTAACACAATAGACCTCAGTACGAGGCTGTGGGAATAACTACAGAGTTTGTGGGGCTTATTCCCCAAAGCCTCGTACTGACGTCTATTGTTTTAGGCTGAATTTCGTTCGATTATAATCCTCGTTCCCCTCCCCCTCCTCCCTCGTGAAAATCATGCCAGTCAAGAAGTCTTTTGGACATTATAAGCCCAGGGTTTGTTCTCAGAGTTTTACGGTACTTGTTAACTACTTGGGGTCGCTAATCTACCATACACACGTTGTTGACTTTATGAAGTAGGGCGGGAGCTATGGCGCTTCATGAAATTTTTAAAAGTTCTCATTGCTTGAAGATTTATTTTCAAACCCCAGGTGTTCGTTGGATCAGGCGATGGTCGTGTCTTGGCTCTCAAACAAACCGATGGTTCCCATATATGGTCTCCAACAACACGTGACTACATCGTGGCATCGGTGGCAGTATCACGTGATAACGTCGTGTACGCCGCGAGCTCGGATAAGTTCGTGTACGCGTTGCATGGCGACGACGGGTCGGTTATTTGGAAGTTTGAAACTGGCGCTGGTGTTGTGGCCACTCCAGTTCTTTTCCCAGAGCATGCTATGCCGGTTGGATAAAACGTCTTCTGACTGCAGCTTATAGTTCTTTTTAGTAGTGAAATCCTTAACGGAGTTACCTAACGTCACGGTTCACGCATCTTGAAAACTTAAGCCTAAATTTTTCAGGTTCGTCGTCTGTTTGTTCCTTTATGGTTTGTTATTATCTCTTTGATTTTTTTCTATCTAAGTAAACTACTATACTCGGGTTTCCTTCAAATAAAAGGTAATTCTGTATGTAGCAAAAATAACTCAAAATACCATGACTGAGCTCCTTTAATATCGTGAAGCGTAGAATATGACACGCTAAAGCGGACAAAAATACATCCTTAAAATAGGTAACACTTGTTCTATAAATTATTTAAGAATATTCTTAATATAGAAAATTTGTTGTTTCTCTGATATAAGACGTGTTTCGTATATATAAAACTTGATGTAAATAATGAGCACTTCTTCCCAAATAAACACATCTTTTTAATATACAATTATACTTTCTTAAAATGTGTACGGACAGGTGCTTGTTCTATGTGTACAGATTGACATAAATATTTAAAAGTTTTATCAAAATCCGCCATTCCTCGCACAAATATAGGACTTGCTTCAAGTTTTACGTATTTAGAACAAGTGTCATATATTTTAAGGAAGTATTTTTGTCCACTTTGACGTGTCACACTAGAAATTCAACAGTATTCATTTTATACTCTAACCTAGCCAGAACTCGAACCCAGGACCAGTGAGTCGCAAGAAACGGACTTCCGTCAAAAAACCGTAAGAGTAAAGGTTGGGATTCATTCTGGAAGAGAACCTTTATGTAAGTTTTGTTTACGGAAATGAAACCTTTTACACTAATTATCCCAGCTTCTAGTAAATTTACTTAATTTCATCTCGCCTGTGATCGATAACGACAAATTAGCTTTTCAGAGACGTTTCTGGCGCTCACAGTATAACTCATATCACTGTAACTAAACTAGAAATATAATGTAACCAACCTGTTATTTAATTTATAAAAACAGACTTAACTTACCTAAAGAACGCTATATAACATAGTTCAGCCAACAAAGAACAGATAAAATGCGAGTAAAATGTTTTCATAGAGGAATTTTACTTAATATATGGACAGAACAAACTTCCGAAACGTACAGTCAACAAAACCCTAACAGTCTTGTTGGCCCTCGATATCGGAGTTTGATTTCTGAGTCTATCAGTGCCGTTGCAAAGAACGATAAAGATATTTATTTTAAGAGTTATTACCTTCAATGTAGATTAAGTCTAAACTATCAAGGTTTGGTTTATACCACGCAAGTGAATAGTGCTTTTCTCGCGTTCTGATTGGTTAACTCGAAAGTGATAAGCAAAGTACAATTCACTTCTGAGCAGCCAAAGAATAACAAAATGGCTTCCGTTTGCTTCGGTTACCGAGGAGCAAATAATCAGTGCATTTGGTTCGGTAGTTGTTAAGCTTGTAAGGTATATACTGAAACAATTATTCACCTCGCTGTCGGTGAAAGTGGAGGATATTTTCCTCCACTTCGGTGAGTAATTTTCAACTAATATCACGTTTAACTGATCGTTGCAAACTGATGATTGAGAAGTTTTCAAGCAGATTTGACTGCGTTGTTGAGATATTTAAAAGTTGTTTCTGTAATCATTCGACTTAGATGTAAATCTAAAAAACACTCTACCCTAAGAAGAAATGAACGTTAATTGAATGAAATTAAAAACGCAATGATTTACCATACCTGACATTGTGATCTCTTTTTACTTCTCGGAGAAATCTAACAAATTTCAGTGAATGTTAAAATATTTCGACAGGACACCACATCAGCCCTAGCTGGTTTTCTAGCGGGGTCGAACTGGAATTTGAAAACGTTTTTTTCTTTTTTTTTCGGGAGGGAGAAAACCGGAGTACCCGAAGAAAAACTCTCAAAGCAAGGCGTGAACTAAAAGGAAACTACACCCATACATGGAATCGAACCCACACCGGTAGGGGGTGAGCGCTCTCACTTTATTGCTCCATCCATGTTCCCCTAAACACAGGAAGGCCGAATGTGAACACTGGAAGGAGCGCGGTATTTATATACTTCATGGGAGTCATCGAACAAAGAATAGCTTATTTCTTGACATTTTCGTCGAAGTTTCGAGAAAGCACTGGTTTGAAGCCACTTTCGACTGCCATGAGATGTTGTAGGAACATGTGACAGCGACAAAATTATTGTGTCCTGTTCACACCATTATTTAACCATGTGTGAACAGTGCGTTCCCTCGTGTGAACAACACAACGATGTTGTCACAGCTTCATGTCGCTGCGTCCTGCTAAATGAGCCCTTGCGCTTAGTCACCTTTAGATTTCCTTTTACTGTAATTTATAGTTATTATTTTGTATCTTGGATTATATTCCTTGACCGCTTTCCATTAGACCCAAAATTCCCGAATTTTCCAAACGGCGACAAATAGTGTGGAAATTTCCCGGGAAAGTTTCCAGAAAATCCAATAACTGTTCAATTTCCGATCGCAACATGCAAACCATTCAAACAAAAAACGTTGGAAATTCCCTGAGCAAAATCTAATTGAACGAAAATTCCCAATAAAAAAAATTGGAAAATATAGGTTAACCTTTCAAAGCTGCCACCATTTTAGGAAATTCTATTTACTACTTGAAATGTCCGGAAATTCAACCCAGTATATTTTGTTGCTCCATTAAAGCGAGCTGTTCAAAAAGTTCGATTGCGAAAACGCTGTATTCGTTGCTTTGTTTCAATTTCTACCCAAGCTTCAGTCAGACTAAATAAGCATGAAATGTTTGTTATTTTAACTCCCCAGTATTAGCGAGCTCAGTCTTTCGTAGTACTCTGTAACACGTGCATACATTTTTTTTTTGTTTCGTTCAGTTTAGTTCGTTTCAGCAGGTGCGTGTGCTTGAAGCTGGTCACTTTCGTTAGTTTGTTTAAGCTCTGTGTTAATTAACTTTCGAATCAATTCGTTCTATTGCCCTTTCAGCCAAGCTCGCTGTCATGGCAGTGACAGTCTTATCTTCATAACATGATCAATTTCCTGCGTAATTTAATGGTTTCAAGCGTGATGACCTGGTGATGACGAAGGATTCAATTAAAGATGTCCACTTAAAGCTGTCCAATATACCGCAACTCCTTGTAACCTGTCTGCTACAGTTAGGACAGAAAGACACCTACGTCATTCGCGCAACTTCTGCATGAAATTAGTTAATTATTCATCCTATTATGCCCTAAATTATACGACATTAAAACCATTTACATTTTGTTACTTTTGCTACCCTGCTGAGGCTTACATCCTGCGTAAAGTCACAGATCCGACGCACCGAGGAAATTAGACTTCTCCCACACAGGATGTGAAATTTTCAAATTTAAATTTTGCATTTCATATGTTTTAGCTGTAGTTTTCTCATGTTCAAGTTATCCTATCAGCATATCTTGGGGAGCTTGTATTGAAGTCGGAGAATCATATAATATAAAGTTGTTCATTAGTCAATTGGAAAGCTGTGAATGTGATGAGTTGGTTTGACAGACAGTCAATATTTCTATGGGGGACTAATACAATATTTCTTATTTTTGTGTTCTTTTACGTATACCAAAATGCGTCATCTGTAGCTGGCGTTCGATGGTCGAAGAAGCACTGTAATCATCACTCAAAATGAACAGATAACTCGAAAATACACTGTCCGCAATTGGTTCTAGTCCATTCCACTCATGTCTTTCCCAAATTTTCACAGACAGACAGATAATGAGGCCGCACCCACCCCCGCCAAATAACGTGACCTTCCCGTTTTGTTGACAAGCGAATTAAATTAGGGAGAGTAAATTTCATTTCCGTCTTTATTAACCTGACAGCTGACTAAATCCAAGAACTCCCACAACTCCGGTAAATGGTCCTTAGCGATTACACAACTCTGACATCTTTGTCTTTAAAAAGAAATCTACGGAGAACAAGAGGGACTTAAAGGCGCGATGTCTTTGATCGGTTTGTACCCGTGTGCGAATATCTCTGCTCCGACCGCGTTGAGCATCACTTCAGCTTCGTTCTGCTCTGTTCTCACGGCTACAACAGTCACGGGCAACTTTCTTGTACTCCTGGCCGTCATTATCGATCCAAATCGCAATCTGCGATCTCCGTTCAACTTCCTCGTGGCTAATTTAGCGGCGGCAGATTTAGTCGTGGGATGTTTCGCGCTACCGATGTCGGTCGACTTCTACGTGCGCGAGGCCTTAAGCCATCACCCGACGCTTCTCCGCCGAGACCATGCTAGACGGGTTGGATCTTTCATCTCTACGACCGCGTCGTTGCTGAGTTTGGCTGCCTTGACTGTAGACAGATTCATTGCTATCACCGACCCACTGAAATACAAGAGCAGGCTGACTATAAGAAGGGCGGCCATCGCTTCAGTTGCTCTTTGGGTCTTTTCCATCGGATTTGCTCTTCTTTACTTCAAGGTGGGTTATTTGAAGTACCAGTTCTTCTTCGCTAACACAGCAGTGGTAGCTACATTTGCAGTGCTGTGCCTCACTTATGCGAAAGTCTTCAGGAACTTCAAGCATCAAATTAAGTACTGGGACTCTCTACACGATGGCCATGAACAAGACAACCAAGTTAAGAAGAGAGCGATGAAATGGGAGAAGAAAATTACAAAAACTTTCCTGATCATGCTCGCGCTATTCATCTGTTGTTTTCTTCCGTCACTGGTCCTCATTTACGTGATCAGCTTTTGCGGGACCTGCAACTGTGTCTTTATTCATTGGGCAAGGGATATAAATTACATTTTAATCATGGCGAATTCAAGCATGAACCCTTTCGTTTTCGCATGGCGGCTGCAACCGTACCGTAAAGCCTTCGCTAAAATATTGACGTGCGGCAAGATTATGCGAAGGCTGCGTTCAGTCTCCGCACAGTTGAACCTTTCAATGAACTCTTTAGGAACGATTTCTGGAACATACAACACATCAAGCGACAATCCATCAAGTTAGATTGTGTTTCAGTATCAACACTTTGTCGATAAAAAGTACATTTGAAGATAGCTATTGCGTTTTCAAGCGGGTATCAAACCCGTGAAATTTGCATTGGGAATGTTTCGGAATTGTTCGCTAATGTAAATATTTACAATTCTAAATGTATCTATATCATTTTCAAGGACACATTGGAAATTAGTAAAAAACTTTAAAAAGCAACTGGGATATTTATAGTGCAGTTTTAGATTTTATTTCAATATTTTGCGGAAGAAATCTCGGCGGGTCAACATGAGTTTGTCATAACTCGTTACGAATGAACTATAACTTGTCAGCTTGTTTACGCAAAATATTTATTCAGCCGTAACGCGGTTTAATCTTCTTTAGCTCGTATGAAAATACGATATTAGTTATATTATTGCCCAACTTGTCTAATGCATTTAATATTAGCCTCCTCAGGAGACCAAGCACGCATCGAAGTATTGAACTCAGTGCTTGGCTGGGGTCACATCGCGATCGCATTTTGTTGTAAAGTGGCAAGGTGATAATGTTTTTTAATTTATAAACATCTAATTCAGTTTAAGGCTTTGAAAGACTACATTTTTTGGTCTTTGTAGACGAAAATAATGTTTAAAATACTTAGTTTCTTCCGGGGAATGTAGCCATGATATATTTAACAAAATAACTGGGAGTAATTTGTTAAAAATTAAAAGAATCCTCAGACAATCTACCGTTGTCACGATTACTGATGACATTACGCGACGAACATGCATTTGATTCAGTAACTGACAGCAGGAAGTGGAACCGTCGTTGACCTTTTTCGACGTTTCTCGTTTCGAAACTGAAGACAAGTGATCTGCAACCTGCTGACAAACCGTCAGTTGTGCACTTGTTTCGGTTTGATTATGAAAGTCAAGAAAGAGCGAGATCAAGAGTTAATATTAATAAAACTTAAATGACACTTGCGGTCATTGGCTTAATCTGATTTGAGAGATGACTGAAGCAAAATTAAAAACGAGCAAAATATTCTAAAGTGAACGATATCAAAGCAAACGAAAATGTGAGATTTCTTCCACTAAATACACTTATAAAATGCTTACACTAAATGCTTAAAGAATTCACTTTTTCTGACAGCGGGATTTCAAATCTTCTAAAAGATCGGTTAAGGAATATCTAAATGGTTGTAGGCGCCAGAATTT